TTTACTGCAGTGCTTGCAGCTGAACAAACATCTTCTCCTCCAGCAACAGAGCACAAATAACTAAAAATAACTGCATGCATCTGTGGTCGGGGCAAATTATGAACAACAAGATACAAAAAGGCCAAAACCCACCTGCCACGATCCCTGCACACAGCACCACCAGGGGGGTGGGCAGACGCCCTAAGCCACCCCTCGGGCCGATCCACCGATCCATCCATACCCTCACCCCAGTTAAGGGACCATCTCACCACCCCCACTTCGGGGAGCCAGCACTTCCCAGACCGGGGATCAAACCTGTGTCCCCTGCATTGGCAGGTGGATTCTTAACCACCGTACCACCAGGGAATTCCCTGTTTCTTTTTCAAGATTGTTTTGGCTTATTCTGGGTCTTTTGCATTTCCATATGAATTTTATGATCAGCTTGTCAATTTCTGCCAAAAAAAAAAAAAAAAAGCAGCTTTTAAGGAATGGATTGGAGAAGGAAATAAAGAACCTGAGGCAAAAACACCAGTTAGAAACCTATTGAAGTAATCCAAGTTAAAGGTAATGAGACACACATGGAAATAAATAGTAAGATATAAATTTGAGAACTAGTAGGAAGATCACCATGATTTGTTTTTTAAAAAAATGCAGGTGCCAAAAGAGGGACAAAAGTACTGAGCCAAGGTGTCTGGGAAAATCTTGATGTAACTAACAGAAAATCACAAAAGGGGAAAAATAGCAGATTTAGAAGATGGCAAGTTCCTTTTAGACTTCCTTAGGTCTCAGACCAGGGAAGAGTCCCAGCTTTTCCGTACCAGTAGTGTTACCAGCCAGGGTCCTTGGATTTTTCAATCAATAGAAATTGGTAAGAGCCAGACGAGGAATTCAGGCAAGGCTTTATTGGGACTCATTCTGCAGCAGGGAGGGAGTGAAAACAAGTAACAGGTGCCCTTGCTCAACCCCGGGCCGGAAGGGTGGCTTAGGGGGTCTGCCCCCCGCCCCCCCGCGCCCGGTAGTGCTGTGTGCAGGGATCGTGGCAGGTGGGTTTTGGCCTTGTTGTATCTTCCTGTTCCTGTTTTGCCCCAACTGTGCAGGCATGCAGTTATTTTTAGATACCACAATTAGCTTTTGAACTAACATATATGATTAAAGACAGTTTCTCACACCTCTCAGGAAAAGGAGGATGTGTCTGCTACCTGATAAAAACAACATTTATATACATACTCCTCTGACTGTAGAAACTGATCCACTGGTCCTGTCTTGGCTCTACGCCATCAGGTCATTGAAGAAGAAACTATCTTCTTAAGATTCTTCACCTCCTTGAGATAAACTCGTACATTCCAATTCATAATAATCCTGTGATTATGCACAGCATTTCTGCATCATCTTTCATGAAAACAAAGTAGTTGAGAAAGCCTAAACGGGGAGTCCTAAAGTGCGCCAGAACTAGGGCGTTGGACCCCAAACATCAACACCACTAGTAACCGGGAGGCGCTGGGTTGCTCCCGTGCCACCTCCTCCATCCAGAGCTGTGTACAGAAAGAAAACTACATTTCCCGGCCACCTCTGCGGGGCAAGGCGCGCGAGGGAGGGCGGGAATGGGGCGGGCCTCTGTGTGAACAGCTTTTCTATTGGTGCGCAATCCAGAGAGCCGTGTAAACTAGTGGGCGATTGGGTGGGCTCTTGCACGTTCCGTGGCGCCGCGACGCCCGGTGGTTTGACTTGCTTTTCGGTTGGGCTCTCGGCGTCTGCGGCTCTGGGCGGCGTGAGTAGAGTTCCGGGTTTCGGAAGCGGGGCAGGGAAGGTGTCTGGGGGGGAAAAGGCAGGTTG